TTCCTTCCTTCCTTCCTTCCTTCCTTCCTTCCTTCCTTCCTTCCTTCCTTCCTTCCTTTCTCTCTCCCTCTCTTTCTTTCTTTCTTCTTTCTTTTTTTCCTTCCTTCTTTTGAGACAGTCTCGCTCTGTCGACCAGGTTGGAGTGCAATGGTGCAGTCTTGGCTCACTGCAACCTCCGCCTCCCAGGTTCACGCGATTCTCCTGCTTCAGCCTCCCGAGTAGCTGGGATTACAGGCACGCACCACCACACCCAGCTTCACTGTGTTAGCCAGGCTGGTCTTGGACTCCTGACCTCGTGATCCATCCACCTCAGACCGGCCTCCTCTTTCTTCCTTTTTTTTGAGAAAAGTTCTTGCCCTACCCCTGAGGCTGGAGTGCAGGGTGTAGTCACAGCTCACTGCAGTGTCAAACTCTTGGGCTCAAGAGACCCTTCCGGCCCAGCCTCCTGAGTAGTTGTGACTGGAGGTGTGAGCCACCGCTCCTGGCCGATACTTTTTCCTTTTTGGGTAATTTTCAGCAAAGACCAGGTTTTGGGCCTTTGTGAGTTATGTTCTGGACTTCCAATCTTCTCCAGCTAGAAGAGCCTTCATTAAAAAATATCTTTTAGCACATCAGAAAAATAAACATTTCTTTCAGAATGAATTATTTGGAAGTACCTGGGGGTTGGGTGCAGTGGCTCAGGCCTGTAATCTTGAGTTTGACTCCTCCCGGGGCTCTGGGAGTTGAGGTGAATGGTTCGCTTGAGTCCCAAGTTCCAGAGCAGCCTGGGCAACAGAGTGAGACCCCATCTCAACCAAAAATTAAATCTAAGAAGTACCTGGGGGTCTTCTAGTCAAGTCAACCCACTGTGTTGCGTGGACTGGCAACATGGTTTTGTGAATATGATTCGAATCCTTCTGGAAGCGCAAGTGTGAGGGTATTTCGCGGGCTCACTGGGTTCCACTTTCTTTCCAGTGTATCCCCTCGGCAATTGTGAGCTTCACTGTCTCCAGGAGGAACGCCAACGTGGTGAGTCCAGCCCACGCCCGGCCTCTGCCGGGAAGAAAGCCGGCGGGGCCGACAGACAGGGTACCCACGTGTGCCTGTGTGTGTGCGCGTGCACGCACGGCCGACGGTGGAGCTCCTGCCCTGCCCAGCCTTTGCCGCACGGAGAGGAGACAGGGCTGAGCACTCCGGGTTCCCCACCACTGTGGCCCAACCATTATGATTTTTAGTTAATGGCCTGAAGTGTGGTTTTCGGTTGCTTTTCTTTCTTTCTTTATTCAAAGAAGGAAAACCCCTCCTGCCTTGTTTTCCAGATTCCCAACTTTCAGATATTGTTTGTTTCCACATTTGCTGTGACCACGACGTGTTTAATTTGGTTTGGATGCAAACTAGTCCTGAACCCATCCGCAATAAACGTGAGTTCACGTGAGCTTCCTGCTGACCTGACACGCACAGCTCCACACCCCAATCCATGGTGTCAGTAAATATCGCTTGTTGAGTTGGAAATAGGTGGCAAATGTTATTCATAGCTCTTGAGTCTGACAAATGTTGAGAATTTTATTTATGCTTCTAAAAAAAAGAATCGTCTTTACTGAGCCTTGTGATTCTGCTGGTAAACAATGTCTTTTGCAATGGTCCTTAAAAATTGACGGTAACATAGTGCCACGTTTCATCCAATCTGTGATGCAGATTGTAAGACAGTTGCTTCATGTATCTCTAAATAAAAATGGGAAAATGCGGGAGGAGGTTTAGGGAGCCAAGATCGCACCAATGCACTCCAGCCTGGAAGACAGAGCAAGACGCTGTCTCAAAAACAAACAAACAAACAAAAAATAAAAAAAGAGAGAAAATGTCATTTAAATTATGATGCCAAAAGAGAAAAATCTTGGCTGGGCGCAGTGGCTCACACCTATAATCTCAGCACTTTGGGACGCCAAAGTGGGCAGATCACCTGAGGTCAGGATTTTGAGACCAGCCTGACCAACGTGGAGAAACCTCGTCTCTACTAAAAATACAAAATTAGCTGGTCGTGGTGGTATATGCCTGTCATCCCAGCTACTTGGGAGGCCGAGGCAGGAGAATTGCTTGAACCCGGGAGGCAGAGGTTGCAGTCAGTCAATATCACAGCATTGTACTCCAGCCTGGGCAACAAGAGCGAAACTCCGTCTCAAAAAAAAAAAAAATGTCAGACAGCTATATTGACTTTTTAAAATGTGTGGTTCTATGACTATTAACACACGTGTAAATTCACGTCACTACCAGTAGAGTCAGGGCCCACAGTGACTTCATTACCCTACAAAAAACTCTGTTTTCAGTGTTTGATGATCATGCATGAAGCTGCTATAAACATTCCTGTGCAGGCTTTTGTGGGAACAAGGGACGTTTAGCTTGGGATCCGTAGACCACAGCCCAAGGCCAAATCCAGCCCTGGCCTGTTTATGTACAGCCTTTGAACTCAGAGTAGTTTTAAAAACCAAAAGACCCAAAAAACCCATGTGAGACAGAGACAGCGTGTGGCCCAGAGCACCTCCCAGCCGGCCCCGGACAGGAAACGTGGGGCCCGCGGTGGCCGAGAGCCCTGCGCAGCCTGGCTGTGACGTGGTCCTGTGCACGCCGAGGTGAGGTCGCATGAGCTAGGCGGCCGGGTGCTGAAGCGTGTCCCCTCCCCAGATCAACTTCAACCTCATCCTGCTGCTCCTGCTGGAGCTGCTCATGGCGGCCACGGTGATCATCTCCGCACGGTCCAGCGAGGAGTACTGCAAGAAGAAGAAGGTGGGTGCAGCTTCTGACCCTGAAGGGCAGGGGATGCAGTGGCATCGTCCCAGCATGTGCCAGTTGCGTCCCCACCTGCGGGGTGGTCTCAGCATCACCCTCGGAGGGCTGATCTGAGCTGCTCCGAGGCGGTCCCATGAGACCCTGCTCTTCTGGGTCTGAGAGACCAGGGCCAGGAAGGGGTCTGGAGCAGGGTGAGGGGTTGGTGGTCACTGGACGCAGGGAGGTGAGGACGGATGCTGCCCCCTCCCCCTCCCCGTCCCCCTAAACCTGACTCGGTCAGGTGCTTGTCCTGAGGGGTATCACCAGGAGACACCACATCTGCTAAAAATACCTGTCAACGGGGATTGTGCAAATACCTATGAACGCATTTCCATATGCAAGGACAATGTGTGTGAGTGTTTCCTAGAGCCCAAAGGTCCACGGGTGACTCCGAGGTGGTCTTGTGTCTACACCGCAGGCTGAGCTGGCCCATGGCCCCTGGCGGCCGGATGCCAGCAGCAGTGCCAAGTCCCCATGCCTGTGCGCCGCGGGTGACGGTTATGTGTCTTCCTAGGTCTCCATGGCTGACAGCACCAACATTTTGGAAGAAGTGCCGTTTCCCGCTCGGGTCCTCAAATCTTACTCAGTAAGAAAAACTTCCGTTTTCTTTCTCTTCCTTCTTACTTTGTTGGGAGTGGCTGAGGCCAGATTAAACGTTACAGTTCTATTCCGAGATGGCTGAGTTGGCTGCGTAGACCGTGCACAACCACATGAGCCTCATCTGCGGAGACTCTAGTCTTTTGTTAGTATCGTTAGTAACTACGTACCTTATCATGAAAGGTGCTGATGTTCCGCAATATTTAGGGGGGAGTTTGTGATCGCTGTAGGTGTGTCCATATTGCTGTCCCCGAGGAATTCTTTTTGTTTTTTGAGATGGAGTCTCACTCCGTCAGCTGGGCTGGGGTGCAGCAGCGCGATCTCGGCTCACTGCCCCCTCCGCCTCCTGGGTTCAAGCGATTCCCTGCCTCAGTCTCTCAAGTAGCTAGAATTACAGGTGCCCACCACCACACCTGGCTAATTTTTGTGTTTTTAGTACAGATGGGGTTTCACCGTGTTGGCCAGGCTGGTCTTGAACTCCTGACCTCAAGTGATCCACCCACCCAGACCTTCCAAAGTGCTGGGATCACAGGTGTGAACCGCCAGGCCCGGCCTCTTTCTCCTTCTTCCTTTCAACTTTCCTTGCTTTGTACTTTGGCACAGTTCTCACAAACAGCCCGTAACTGTATTTTGTTCTTTCTTATGTCACTCCCTCTCCCTAGCCTTTTGAATGTAGCCCATTTCCTTTGAGAGTTGTTACTGATAACTGTGTATTTATTTTCACCACCTCTTTAGTTTTCTGTTTTCCCTATGCCTTCCCCTCCGCCCCCACTTCCCCGTCTTCTTTTGAATTGCTTGAGGCTCTGTCCTTCCTTCAGCAGTTGTCCTTCGTCTTGTAACACGCTCCTTGATAAACGCGTCACACGGTGTCTGTCCCACTTGCTCCCACCTTGGCCTTGTTGTCTAGCCTGTGAGATTTAGTGACATTTCGATTTTTTCCTCCAACAATGGGATGGCCCCCTGTGTGCTTGACTTGCTCCGTGTTCGTTTCCCAGCGCCCCTGCCTCCTCTTATTTAGCATCTCATCCTCCCTTGGGGTCCATTTCCGTTCTGCTGCTGCTGCTTCTTTTTTTTGAGATACAGTCTTGCTCTGTCACCCAGGGTGGAGTGCAGTGGTGTGATCTCAGCTCACTGCAACCTCCACCTCCCAGGATTACAGGCGTGTCTCCCGAGTTCAAGTGATTGTCCTGTCTCAGCCTCCCAAGTAGCTGGGATGACAGGCATGTGTCACCACACTGGGCTAATTTTTGTATGTTTAGTAGAGGCAGGGTTTCACCTTATTGGCCAGGCTGGTCTCAAACTCCTGAGCTCTTGATCTGTCCACCTCAGCTTCCCAAAGTGTTGAGATTACAGGCGTGAGCTGCCATGCCTGGCTAGGAATTCAACTTTATTTGTTCATCTGGAGTTTTGTGCCTTCCGGATGTGAGGCCTGTATTTTTAGGGACTGCCCAGGTCGCCTCTGGCCCCCACGCACCTGCTGGCTGGGCCCCCTCATTCCCAGGTCCCCTCTGGCCCCCACACACCTGCTGGCCAGGCCTCCTCATGCCTGGCTTTCCTGCCGGTCACAGCTCTGTGTCTGAGTCTCACAGCTATTTTTCATGGGAGCAGGTTTTTGGGCATTTGTTTCTTTCCAAGCCCTACCTGGGTCTGGCGGTGCTGGTTGCAGCCCTGATGGTGCAGGGCGGATGAGCCCACAGCCAGGGCTTAGGCCAGGAGGGTTCTTGGCTTCCTCCAGGAAAGAATTCAGGGGTGAGCTGGTGGTGACAGACGGCAGCTTGTATTGCAGTGGCAACAGAGGTGCTGCTCCTGGCAGAGCAGGGTTCCTCCATGGGCAGTGCGCCCACATGGGCAGGGATCCCTGATGGGCAGGGCTTCCCCAAGGGCAGGGGTTCCCCACAGGTAGGGCTTCCCCAAGGGCAGGGGTTCCCCACAGGTGGGGCTCCCCCACGGGCGGGGCTCCTCCACAGACAGAGCTCCTCCACGGGCGGGGCTCCTCCACGGGCAGAGCTCTTCCACGGGCAGGGCTCCCCTATGGGCAGTGTGCCCCGAGCAGCAGCTCAGAGACGACACTGCCTCCTATTTATACGCACTTGTAAGTATGTGCTAATTAAGGGACAGATTATGCAGAAATTTCTGGAAGAGGAGTGGTAACATCCAGGTGGGTGGATGGTCGCCACGGAAAGGGGTGGTGATTTCCAATGTGGCACATGGCACTGGTGGCGTGTCCTGTGGGAAGCTGCCCCTGCCCAGCCCTGTTTTCCTGAGCCTGCACATGGTCCAGTGTCTCACTGTGGGGACAGGGAAGGGGGTCTGAGGGTCTTGTTTTTCTGCCCTCACCACTGTCAGGTCAATACCCTAAGTTTCTGTAGACAAAAGCAGCTGTGGGGTAAACACCCCTTCGACTGTTTTACTCCGGGAAGCATGGGACGTGAAAAGCTGCAGCTGAGGGCAGAAGTGGGCTGGGCCAGGTGAGGCTGGGGGTCCATCCAGGTGGGCTCCTCCACCGTTAGATCCGGAGCCAGCCCACCGCACCCTGCTCCTGCGGTCTGTGTCTGCAGGGTCTGGGTCTGCGTTCTGGGGATCTGGGGGCATCTCCACTTCCTCTGGGCGGCCCCAGTGAACCGATGCTGCCCGTCCCGTCCAGGTGGTCGAGGTGATCGCAGGCGTCTCTGCTGTCCTCGGGGGGATCATTGCTCTGAACGTGGACGACTCGGTCTCCGGCCCACACCTCTCGGTGACATTCTTTTGGATCCTAGTGGCGGTGAGTACGGCCTCTGGCTGGCCCGCCACTGCTCTGGGCCATGCCATTCAGATCCCACGTGGCTGGGCCCTGAGCTCAGTCTTGGTGCACTCAGACAAGGAGGCACCGAGGAGGGTCCTCACCGGCCCCAGTCCAGAAGAACTGGGGAGTTAAGGATTAGAGGAGTCGAAGTATTAACTGCTTTTATATCAGTTTGTATGATTATTTTATATTATTTTTCCTGAAAAACCAATTATTTTTATTATTCTAATTTTTGTAACATGTGAATAGGGGCCATAAATGTTTATTATTGTTTTAATTTTCTTTTCTTTTCTTTGAAATGGAGTCTTGCTCTGTCGACCAGGCCTGAATGCAGTGTTGTGATCTCGGCTCACTGCAACCTCCGCCTCCCGGCTTCATGCAATTCTCCTGCCTCAGCCTCCTGAGTAGCTGGGACTACAGGCGCACACCACCACACCTGGCTAATTTTTTTTTCTTGTATTTTTAGTAGAGACGGGGTTTAACCATGTTGGCCAGGCTGGTCTTGAACTCTTAACCTTGTGATCCACCCTCCTCAGCTTCCCAAAGTGCTGGGATTATAGGCGTGAGCCACCACGCCCAACCTATTCTACATAATCTTCCAATATATAATGCATTTATATTACAGCATGTGTTTTATGCAATGCAGCATGTTTCTATTATTGCTTTACATTAAATGTTACCATAGCAGATGTGTCACATGTCACCTGGCACATGCTGCATGTACAATACATGGGCACTGTTTTATTTATTTTATTGTGTGTATTTATTTATTTATTTTGAGATGGAATCTCACTCTGTTGCCCAGGCTGGAGTGAAGTGGCGTGATCTCACCTCACTACAACCTCTGCCCCCCAGGTTCAAGCAATTCTCCTGCCTCAGACTCCTAAGTAGCTGGGATTACAGGCATGGACCACCATGCCCTGCTAATTTTTTTGTATATTTAGTAGAGACAGTGTTTTGCCTTGTTGGTCAGGCTGGTCTTGAACTCCTGACCTCAAGCGATCTGCCCGCTTCAGCCTCCCAAAGTGCTGGGGTTACAGGTGTGTTCCCTCAGAACAATGAGTCTACAGCAAGCCCTCCATACCCCAGATCCCCTCCGGCCTGTGTCACACCCCAGAGCCACCGCCCACCTGCTTCCAGACACAGACCCTGTGCAGTCCTCGGCAACTTGCTGAGTAGTGGCCTGCACACTGGTGTTGACGGCCAGCCCCTGGTTTGTCCCGTGCCAAGTGGGCTTCCACATTTTGCCCCTTTCTCTTATATACATGAGTGGGCATGGTGAGCACGCGGCTTCAGCTACGGGCTCCTCCCAGGCAGTAGGGGGCTCTTCCTGAAGCTGCCGAGAAGGCCCACACCTGCCTGGGAGCCGTATGGCTGGGGTGGACACATCTCATTGGCAGCAGCTGTGGCTCAGCTCCCTGTGGGGGCGAGTGGGCTCAGAGCAATGTCCCCTGGGCACCAGTGCCCAACCTAGTGAACCACAGAGGACTCAGAGCGGGAAAGAGACCCAGGCAGGGCCTAGCTGGGATGGAGCCACATCCCCAGAAGGGGCAGGACCAGGGCTGGCTACTGAGACAGAGAACTCACGTGAGTGCCCACCCAGGCAGGTCTGTTACAGAGAGAATGATGCCTGCCGGTGTGCACATCAAACCCTGGGCTCTGAAATGCAGGAATTACACCCAATCCCGGGTTCTGAAACGCAGGGGTTACATCCTGAAGCTGAGGAAGGACAGAGACCAAATGCCTCCGAAAAGTTGAGAATGAAGGCACTCGCCCTGTGCCCTTCCCTGTCCCTGCAGTCAGCCCTCACCACATGGCCCCTCCCGTCCTGCAGACCCATCCTGCTCCAGGGGCCACTCTGCTCTCTCCACCCCATGCCCATCAGGTGCTGCTTGGAGCCCGTCTCTGTCCTGCTCTGCCTCTCACTGGAGCTCCTGGCTGATGCAGCTCCCACCTTCAGGGGGATGAAGAGCATGGAGAGGATCCGTCCTCCCTCCGCACTTCCCTCTGCCCACATTGTGTAGAACTAAAGCAGGCTCCTCACAATAAGTGCGAAAAGGGCATTTCTTGCTTATAAAAAGCAAGAGGTACCCATTCAACAGAGGAACCAGGAAGGGGCAGTCCACACCCTGGGGCACTGCAGAGTCTCCTCCATGGCTCCCCAGGGCTCATAGTGAAGAAATCCTATCCCACATGAGGCCTGACTGCAGCTGATGGGCTGCACTCCCCAGAAGTGTCCAGGTAATGGAGGTGACAGAGGCTAAGGGACTCCAGGATTAACAGAGACCTACAGGGAGACTCTGAGCGCGATGGCTGACTGATTCCTGGATCAGGAACAAACAAACAAATAGCTACAGAAAGAACACAGTCAGGTCTGGGCATGGTGGCTCAAGCCTGTAATCCCAGCACTTTGGGAGGCCGAGGCAGGCGGATCACCTGAGGTCAGGAGTTCGAGACCAGCCTGGCCAACAAGGTGAAACCCTGTTTCTATTAAAAATACAAAAATTAGCTGGGAGTGGTGGCAGACACCTGTAATCCCAGCTACTCGTGAGGCTTGAACCTAGGAGGTAGAGGTTGCAGTGAGCCAAGATTGCGCCACTGCACACCAGCCTGGATGATGAGCAAGACTCCATCTCAAAAAAAATAAAATAAAATAAAGAATGAAAAGTAAAAGAACATGATGAGGACAATCGGAAGAATCTGGGCATGGATGGTATCAGACCCATGTGCAGTCTCTCGGGCGTGGTGCTGCTTTGGGCGTGTGCCCGAGTTCAGCCAGCACACTCAGGTGTTCAGGTGTCAGGCAGTCTGGGAGGGCTGGAGAGAGCACAGATGTGAGTGTCAAGGATTGGTGACTTTGGGGCCCTCAGACACCTACTGCACTGCTCTTGCAGCTTTTTTAGAGGCTTAAATTTTTAAACCAATGGTTGAGGAACAAAGAGCACACAAAACCTCTGAGAGGCCACCCCTGCTTCCCTGTGGACCCATCCCTGCCCCAGCTGTGCCCTTGGGGACCGACCCCCCGAGCTCTGCACCAGCCAGGCAGCCTAGATGGAGAGGTAACTTGTGGGAGAGCACATGCTTGGAATTTGACTTCTTGGACTATTTCCTCCAAAATCTTTCCTTTTTCTTTTCTTTTAGTGCTTTCCAAGTGCCATTGCCAGTCATGTGACAGCAGAGTGTCCTAGCAAGTGTCTGGTAGGTGAAGTCCTAACCCGAGTGCCAGAGACCCACTGAGTGGGGCCAGGGCCTGGCCCAGCCCTCCCTTGGGGCCATGCAACCAGGCTCCAGCCTGAGACCGAAGTGACCTAGCTGTGCAGGACCTGTGGGCTGAGGAGGGCAGGGGCTGTAGGGGACATAGGCTGCCACCTCCAGCCCAGGGGGGACTGTTCCCAGGGACAGGCCAATGTGAGCAAGGCAGTGTAGACACTGGGAGCGGTCTCTGTGCCCAAGCCACAGAGGGAGACCGGTGCCTGAGCGTCATCTGTGCCTACTCAGGCTGGCCCATTGTTAATGACTGCTGCCAAAATGTGGGGCCTGAGTGCTCTGCAAGGTTACTGCTGCACTTGGCATGAGTGAAGGCTATTTCTGAGACTTGATGGGTCGAACAGAAAAGTTTGGGATGTGTTAAAAGGACAGACCTTAGAGCAGTGAAGGAGGTGACCCATGCGGAAGGGCTACTTTTTCAAGAGTGGAGAATTGTAGGTAAAAGTTTTTTGTTTCTTGGTTTTGTTTGAGATAGAGTCTTGCTCTGATGCCCAGGCTGGAGTGCAGTGATGGGATCTTGGCTCATTGCAACCTCCGCTTCCCAGGTTCAAGCGATTCTCTTGCCTCAGCCTCCCAAGTAGCTGGGACTACAGGCATGCACCACCACGCCTGGCTAGTTTTTGTATTTTTAGTAGAGATGGAGTTTCACCATGTTGGCTAGGCTGGTCTTGAACTCCTGACCTCAGGTGATCCACCTGCCTTGGCCTCCCCAGGTGGTTGGATTACAGGCATAAGCCACTGCGCCTGGATGGTAAATATTTTAAAACTCGTGGCATTTTGCTTTGAATGAAAAGGCAGGCCGGATGCAGTGGCTCACGCCTGTAATCTCAGCTACTTGGGAGGCTGAGGCAGGAGAATTGCTTGAACCCGGGAGGCAGAGGTTGCAGTAAGCCAAGATCGTGCCATTACACTCCAGCCTGGACAACAAGAGCGAAATTCCGTCTCAAATAAAAGAAAGAGAAAAGAAAGAAGAAAAGGCAGAGGCTTCAGAGAGAGCCACGCAGGGAATCAGCTTGGAACTAAGCCAGGAAGTGCCCGGCCACGCCCCCCTCAGCCCTGGCCACGCCTCATGCCCTGGGCTCCCAGGCTCCTGGCCACGCCCCTGTCCTGGGCTCCCACGCTCAGGCCACGCCCCCCCAGCCCTGTCCACTCCCGCCTGTCCTGGGCTCCCAGGCTCCGGCCACGCCCCACTGAGTCCTGGCCACACCCCCTGTGCGCTCCTTTTCCAGGTGGAGGTGCTGATTGCCATAAGCAGCCTCACATCTCCGCTGCTGTTCACAGCCTCCGGATATCTGTCGTTCAGCGTCATGAGAATCGTGGAGATGTTTAAAGATTACCCGCCAGCCATAAAAGTGAGTTGTATTTTATTTCAGAGCCCTCTACACATGCGGTGCCCTGGCCTGGCCCTTGCTGGCTTTGCGAAGGACTCCGGGAGCGACAGCTTCAGGGGCAGCTCCGGGCGGGGCCTCCTCTGCTGTTCCCCGGTAGTGGAGATGTCGTTCCTGCCGCCAGCCTGGCCCCACGGCCTCTGGGCCTCGATTCTGCCCTGGATCTGAGGCCACCGCCTGCTTCACAGGGACCTGGGACCCTCTATGTCCCCTGAGCTCATTTTAGAACCTGTCTTGAGTTTATGAGACACACTTTTTGGATTTGCATCAAAACTGCATTGAGTTCATGGGTGAATTTAAGGAGAATTCAAAGTCCCATGACTTCGAGCTGGCCCAGTATGAACTTATCTCCAGCAGGACTTAGAAGGCTCAGGCGTATGTAGCTAGATGTATTTCTTAGATACCTGGTGTTTTTTTCCCCCCCAATATAAGTGGTATTGCCACCCAAATCGTTAGGAGACCGGTACTCAAGCAGTTTCTCAGGTCAACATGTGTGTCCTGATGGGGGATGGAATCACTGCCTGATTGATGGATGGATGGACTCACTGCCTGACGGATGGATGGAGTCACTGCCTCAGGGATGGATAGAGTCACTGCCTGTGTGTCCATTTCTGGAAGTATCTGAAAGTGTTAGTCTTTGACAGAGGAGGCTTCACTTTTTTTTTTTTTTTTTTTTTTTTTGAGACCGAGGCTCGCTCTGTCGTCCAGCCTGGAGTGCAGTGGCACTATCTTGGCTCACTGCAATCTCCACCTGCAACCTCTGCCTGCCATTTCAAGTGATTCTCCTGCCTCAGCCTTCTGAGTAGCTGGGACTACGGGTGCACCCCACCACACCCGGCTAATTTTTTGTAATTTTAGTAGAGATAGGGTTTCACCATGTTAGCCAGGATGGTCTCGATCTCCTGACCTCGTGATCCACCTGCATCGGCCTCCCAAAGTGCCTTCACTCTTAAGAACTTCAGCATTTCTAAAGAACAGCCTCCTACACATCCACAATGCCACTGTCACACCTAAGTGGGCTGAAATGATTTCAGGGTATCTCTTCACGTCCAGTATACATTCAGTTTCCGTAAAGTGACGCATCCTCAGAAGATGCTTCCGTGCAGAGGTTTCAGGGCAGGGTGCCGTGGATACTGTGCCTTGGCTCCAGTGTCCCTTCCGTCTCTTCCATCCAGATGGTGCCCACTGTCCCTGTGACACTGACTCTTTGCAGTCCAGGCTCACTGTCGGGCAGGTGGTCCTACCTGTGGCCCTGTTCCCGCCCTGTAGCAGCTGCGAGTGCCCCGGGGAGCTCAGGTCCCTCCGCAGGTGTAAGGGGTTCTTGGCCTCAGGCCCCGGCACTGCACAGACCCTTGTTTTTACCACCTGTGTGCCCTGTGGGCTAGCATGGATGGCGCAGCCTTGCCTGAACTGTTTGTTTCACATGGCGGGTGACGAGAAGGTTGTATGGGATCTCCCATTCCTCCTTGGCGTGCAGGCTGGCTCACTGCAGAGACAGCAGCCCTCCTTTCCTCTGAGCAGCCGGAGGACTCGTGGGGTTCTCATGATTTTTAGTGTTGCAACTGTCACTCTTGATGCTCAGGTTGACCCAGATATGGGTAGAGGTAGCCTCTTCCAGTGTGGCGTCTTCCTGTTACGGCCACTACGTTCCCTGGCTGACTGAAGATGGCACAGGCCTGCCACGTCCTGCGCTCGCCCCAGAACGGCTCTGGCCCTTTGGCTGGGAAAGGCATGTGGGTCAAGATCTGGGACTCCATGTCTTCCGTCCTTCCATGGTGCCACTGCTTCATGGTTCCTTTCGTGGACACAGCTGGGAAATACATGTATTTTCAAGGATCATGCATTTATATTGTTATTTCCAATTCAAATTTAACATTTAGGCTTTTTTCTTTCTTTTTCTCTTTTTTTTGAGATGGAGTCTCACTCTGCCTCCCCGGCTGGAGTGCAGTGGTGCAATCTCTGCTGGCTGAAACCTCCGCCTCCCGGGTTCAAGCGATTCCCTTGCCTCAGCCTCCTAAGTAGCTGAGATTACAGGCATGTGCCACCACACTTGGCTAATTATTTTTTTGTATTTTTAGTAGAGATAGGGTGTTGCCATGTTGGCCAGGCTGGTTTCCAACTCCTGACCTCGTGATCTGCCCACCTCGGCCTCCCACAGTGCTGGAATTACAGGCGTGAGCCACCGCACCCAGCCTAATTTTTGTATTTTTAGTAGAGACAGGGTTTCACCATGTTGGTCAGGCTGGTCGCGGACTCCTGACCTTGTGACCTGCCTGCCTCGGCCTCCCAGTGCTGGGGTTACAGGCATGGCCCCCCTGCCCGGCCCGGGTTTTTTCTTGACTACTCTTATGTTTGCTTCCCCCGCCACACATACTCTAAATTTTTTGTTTCCTGTGACATGTAATATATCTGCTACTTCATTTTATCTTACAATATGCATGTAACTGTTCACGATTACGAAGACAAGATTACCACCCCAGGCCATCTCCTGAGTGGGCCCGAGGGCTCCCTTTCACCTTCAGCGTGTGTTCTGCTCGGAGGGGGTGGCCACATGCTGGCTGAGTAGACCCCTTTTTGTGTGGGGTTGTCCTGTGGATCTGATGTTCAGTTATGTTTAATGGTCTCTGGTTGTATTCTGCTTTAGGGCTTGGTGCTTTTTTTCTTTTTAAAATGGCATTTTTTGAATATATAAAATATGTGGTTCAAAAGCGAAACTATATCAAAGCTGTGCCCAGAGAAGCTGTGGTCTCGCCCCTGACCGACCTGCTCCCTTTGTAGGCAACCATACAATTATTTTCTTTCCTTTCTTACAAAATAGCTTGCACGCTGTAATCACTATGCTGTACCTCACTTTTTTTTTTTTTTAAAGACAGTCCCACTCTGTCACCCAGGCTGGAGTGCAGTGACAGAATCTTGGCTCACTGCAACCTCTGCCTCCTGGGTTCAATTAATTCTCCTGCCTCAGCCTCCGGAGCAGCTTGGATTACAGGTGTGCGCCACCATGCCCGGCTAATTTTTGTATTTTTAGTAGAGACAGGGCCTCACTATGTTGGCCAGGCCGGTCTCGAACTCCTGACTTGAAGTGATCCGCCTTCCTCAGCCTCCCAGAGTGCTGGGATTACAGGTGTGAGTCACTGTGCCCAACCATGTACCTTGCTTTGTAATTACTTATTTACTTATTGTATTTTTCAGAGACAGTGTCTCCCTCTGTCGCCCAGGCTGGTGTTAAATTCCTGGGCTCAAGCGATCTGCCCACCTTGGTCTCCCAAAGTTCAGGGATGAGAGGCTCCTGTCACTGTGGCCAGCCCCTTGCTTGTTTTTCTAAAGTTAATAATTTATCCTGGCATTTCCTTGATACCCAAGGAGATCAGAGCTCTTCCGAATCCCTTCATTGCTCTTGCACATAGGTAGCCCAGTCACCCAGCCAGGCCCTAGTGATGGAAACTGAGTTATTTCCCACCGTCTGCTACTTAAATGGCTCCTCTGTGAACAACCTGCAGGCAGCTTCCTTTTGAATCTGTGCAGTGAATCTTTAGGATATCCGGCTGGGAGAGAGACTGCCGGGCAGAGGGTAGGTGCGGCTATAAGGCTGTTAAATCCCAATGAACTCCTCAATGGAGGCCTTCCACCTTCCCTCCTGCCAATGGCATGAGGGTGCTCACTTCTCCACAGCCCCCCCGAGGGTGTGATGCCGAGGGTTGGTGACAGAGGTGGGAGCACATCTGTCTCCATGTGGGTGATGACGAGGGCCTCTTAGAAAGCACGAAGGCATCTGCATTGCTTTCTCAGTGGACTCTGCACATGTCTTCTGCCCATTTTCCGCTAACCCTGGTGCCTGGGAGACCAGCTCCATTTGTGATCGAGGACACAGACGGTGGTCTCAGCCTGGCAGCTGTTTCTCATTCTGCTTGTTGTGATTTTTGTTATGTGAAAGTTTTTTGAAAATATAGTTAAATTGGTATTTTCCTTAATGGCTCTGGACTTTTTTTTTTTAAGACTGAGGAAAGCATGGTCTTTGCAACAGATGATGTCTCAAGAACTAAAGAGCAAAGGCCACATGGGGCCCATGCCTCTGCCATCCTCCAGGGTAAACTCCGGTTGGAAACACAAGTACCAGACTTTCTAATAATGACTTAAAATCCAGGCCAGGAGCAGTGGGTCATGCCTGTAATCCCAGCACTTTGAGAGGCCGAAGCAGGTGGCTCACCTCAGGTCAGGAGTTCGAGACCAGCCTGGCCAACATGGTGAAACTCCATCTCCACTAAAAATGCAAAAATTAGCTGGGCGTGGTGGTGCATGCCTGTAATTCCAGCTACTGGGGAGGCTGAGGCAGGAGAATCGCTTGAACCCGGGAGGTGGAGCTTGCAATGAGCAGAGATCATGCCACTGCACTCCAGCCTGGGCAACAAGAGCAAAACTCCATCCCCCAAAAACAGTTTTATATTAACTTGAGAAGAGCTGTTCATTCTGTTTGTCTTATTTTTCCTAGCAGTGATTCCAGATAGATGTTTGGCTCTTTTGTGTGTTAGCATTTGTTCTTCCTGGGCCAACACAGGAAAGCTATCCATGGGTCACAGAGGGTTTTGGGTGCTCTGTGGTCGCTCTCTGACCCCTCCATCCTCTTCCCTGCTGAGCTCGCCTGGCTGCCTCCTGCCCCTTCCTTCCCAGCAGCTGGGGCTCAGGGGTAAAGCTGTTGGGGCCTGTGTCCCCATCCCCCCGGGACCGCTGCCCCCTCTCTCCTCTGCTCAGGGTCCTGCTGACCTGGAACGGGAAGCCACAGCGCTTTGCCTCCTGAAGACAGTCTTGCTGGCTCTGGGACTGAGCCTTGCAGTGTTGGGGCAGGAGGGGTGGAGTGACTTGACCATCAGCAGCCAGAACTGTCCATAGGTCATTTGCATTCCTGTCTGTCGAACCCAAGCCAATGGAATGTAAAGCAGAATCAATCTCATTAATTGGGCTAGAATGATTATTATCAGGTTGTTGAAATAACAATGGTTTGAGTTACTGGGCTCCGATTCTGGCTCGGCTCTGTGTGAAGGCCTCGTCTCCTGGGCCAGAGGGTGGCCAGGCCGCCTGCTCATGCCTCCGCCTGCCTGCAGCCTTCCTACGACGTGCTCCTGCTGCTGCTGCTGCTGGTGCTTCTGCTGCAGGCCGGCCTCAACACGGGCACCGCCATCCAGTGTGTGCTCTTCAAGGTCAGCACAAGGCTGCAGGGCGCGTCCTGGGACACCCCGAGCTGCCCACAGGAACGCCTGGCTGGGGAGGTGAGTGGCCTGTGGTGGGGGTGCACGGCGGGGGGTGGGGTTGCAGAGTGACCCACAGGAGCGCCCAGCCGGAGAGGTGAGTGGCCTGCAGGGTTGGGGGGCTCTGGGGAGGTGAGTGGACAGGAGCACCTGCCGGGGAGGTGAGTGGCCTGTGGCGGGGTACCTATCCTGGTGAGGGCCACACAGCATGACCTTCGAAGACTCATCATGCCACTTTGTATTTTTAAAAACAGCCCAGAAAAACCCTGAAGAAATGTCTGTTTTTTTCCTTTGAGACGGAGTCTCGCTCTGTGCGGTGGCACGATTTTGGCTCACTGCAACCTCTGCCTCCAAGTTCAAGTGATTCTCCTGCCTCAGCCTCCCAAGTAGCTGGGATTACAGGCGTGTGCCGCCATGTCTGGCTAATTTTTGTGTTTTCAGTAGAAAGAGGGTTTTGCCATGTTGGTCAGGTTGGTCTCGAACTCCTGACCTCAGGTGGTCTGCCAACCTCGGCCTCCCACAGCGCTGGGATTACTGGTGTGAGCCACCTCGCTGGGCCATAAAATGCCTTTTAGAAAGACAAACAAACGCCAAGCCTAGGTAAACCCAGACCCATCCCTGGGAAATGTCCCGGACCTAATGCTTTCAGATTTGCTTAGAGACACAGAGAGGACTTTGTGGGGACTCCCACAGGTCACTGAAGCTTCCTGGCCTCTGGTGGGGATGCCGGTTCTGTAGGGAAGGCAGTGCCCACCCAGCCTGGCATGTGGGGCTCCGTAAAGCTGGGGTGTCAACAGCTTCTGGCTGTCACCACCTGAACGCTGTTCCCCTGGGCCCTGCCTACTGTCCCGCTACCCCCGGGTCCTGATGCCCCCACACCGGAAAGGCAGAGGCTCAGCGTCTTCTCCCTGAGCTACGGGGCCTGGCGGTGCTCTCCCGGGCAAACCTGCCCACAGACCCTCAGGTACAGTGACCTCGAGGACTGCCAGCTTGCTGCCCAAGCACCCGGACAGCCACTCAGTGGGCTCTGGATCCTGGCCCACTTCCAGGCCACCCTGGGTGGACCGGCCACTGCTCCTGCCCCACACACCCTGCCCTCCTGTGCTCGGCACACCACCAGCCTCAGAGCCTCGGTGCAGAGCTTCCAATGCCTGCTAAGTCCCGGAGGATGCCCTCGGACGCCCTCTTGCCCTTGGCTCATTCCTCAGCCGACCCTTCGCCCCCACCCTTCACCCTCCACACTGCTGTTCCCTTCACCTACCTCCTTGGTGCAGCTGCTTTGCTGTCATTTTTCCTGGCTGTGGTCAGTCTCCTCGCTGGCATGGCAGTCCCTGGGCCTGAAATGAGACTCGTCTGGGTTTCTTTCCTAACCAGCAAGGCCCAGAGTTGGACAAATGAGGTGCTCCCCCCAGATCCCAGAACTGCTGGTCCCAGGGGCTCAGGGTGGGTATCTGTGGCTCAGGGTGAGCGGCAGGGGCTCAGGGTGAGTGTCTGGGGCTCAGGGTAGGCAGCAGGGGCTCAGGTTGAGTATCTGTGGCTCAGGGTGGGTGGCAGGGGCTCAGGGTGAGTGTCTGGGGCTCAGGATAGGCAGCAGGGGATCAGGGTGGGCGGCTGGGGCTCAGGGTGGGTGGCAGGGGCTCAGGGTGAGTGTCTGGGGCTCAGGGTAGGTGGCTGAGGCTGGCACTGTCCTCCTTGTGCCTGGGGGCATCTGGTCACCTCTGCCTCTAGTGTCTTCTTCCTCGGCCATCAGGCACATGCCCACCCTTGGGCAGCCTCCCAGCCCCTCAGAGCCAGGGCAAGGGTCCGATGAAGGGCCGCACTACCCCAGGCTCCATAGAGACCACGTGTGCGGGACACAGGCGTTTCCTGGGCAGTGAGGGAGTAAAGGCCTTTATCTCTTTACCTAGAGACCCTGGGGTTATTTCCGCTCCTTCCTTCATATTCAAAAAAAACTTCTGGGCCGGGCGAGGTGGCTCAAGCCTGTAATCCCAGCACTTCGGGAGGCCGAGGCGGGTGGATCACCAGGTCAAGAGATCGAGACCATCCTGGTCAACATGGTGAAACCCTGTCTCTACTAAAAATACAAAAAATCAGCTGGGCATGGTGGTGCGTGCCTGTAATCCCAGCTACTCAGGAGGCTGAGGCAGGAGAATTGCCTGAACCCAGGAGGCGGAGGTTGCGGTGAGCCGAGATCGCGCCATTGCACTCCAGCCTGGGTAACATCAGCGAAACTCCGTCTCTCAAAAAAAAAAAAAAAAACAACTTCTGAAGAGAATGCTCGCTGCTGCTCCCTGCTGTGGCTGAGGGGCGTGTCCGCCTTCCTGCTGCACAGGTGGCCCTTGTGAAGTAACGCCTCTCCTGTCTCTGTCTTGCAGCAGGTGTCCAGGAGCCCCCTGAAGGAGTTTGACAAGGAGAAGGCCTGGAGAGCCGTCGTGGTGCAAATGGCCCAGTGACCCCCAGACGGGGAACTGGGCAGCAGCGCCCAGCCTGGCCCCGAGCGCAGAAATGCAGAGCCCCTAATCGCCCTGAGCTGCTGCCTCTAACACCTCCCTTTCCCTTGTGCAAGGGCAGACCAGGCTGCAGGTGGGGTTTTCAATTCCTAGGGTAGTTTAATTGTAAAATAGGCCAACGTTGGCTATTCTGTGCCTCAGATCAGTCGGATCCAAACGGCTCCCATGTCCTAATAGCAGGAGCGTGGCCGCAGCTTCCCAGGCCGAGGAAGAGCCCTGGTTCAGCCTCTGAGAGCCCCCCTGAGCAGACCCCAGCCCGGCTCTCTTGTAGCTTGGGCTGGAGTGGACTCTCCGACCGTGGTCTCCGAGTCTCCTGCCCACTCTGACCCAGCTTCCTCCCTCCACTCTTGGTCTATCCCAGGTGCTCAGTCAGCCCGGTGGGACCTTACCCACTTCCCTTTGAGGTGCACCTGCCCCAGGCTCAGCCTGCCCAGCAGCGCTTCCTGGACAGTGGGAGCAAGGCTGGGCGCTGCTGTCCTGGCTGGAGAGCCTCGGGGGCCGCTCCTCCAGAGCCCAGGGCCAAGTGACACAGGCTGCCTCCACTCTCCCAGGTGAAATCCACACCGGCTTACCCGCCCTCTCTTCCCACTTAGACCCAGTCATGCCGGGATCCGCCTCCACACTGGCTGGCCTTGTCCCAGGTGCATTCATGCCCAGCTTGGAGTGCCACGTGACCGCTGCTGTGAGAGGCAGTGTTCTTGGGGGTGCCGACGAGTCTAAGGCTTTGTAATCAGGTTGGAGAGTGTCTCCCTGGCCCCAGTGACAGGGGACGCTGAGCCCCTCCCTCCTGTGTTTGCTCCCGTTACTCAAAATGCAGGACAGACCAGGCCGGAGCCTAGGAACCCTCCCAGGTTCGCCCGGCCCTCTACCTCCTAGCAGGTGCTTGGTATTCATCTTCACTGATAAGGCCCAGGGCAGTGGTCTTCTCCAGCTCTGCTGTTCTGGGGTCTTAGGGTACAGCCCAGGTGGTCACTGCTAACCTGCCAGGCTTCGGGGACCGCTGGGTGTGAGAATAGCACTGACTTTGAGTAGCGCCAGGGCCAGGAGTGGGTTTCCTTCCCGTCTCCTCATCCCCCTGTGGGCGCCTGCGTCCTCCCAGCTGACCCGGCAGTAGATCCTCAGTGAGTTGGGGCAGCTGTGAAACTGGCAGTGCTGCTGGTTGGTAATTACTTTCCAGCAGGTGTTTTCCTTCACAAGGTCGCACATCACAGGGGTTTGTTTCTTCCCTTCTGGTCTGAGAGGAGAGCAGCATCAAGAAGACGTGAACATTTCCTCTTTACTGCCGCGGGTTATACTGACGGGTCCCCCATGGGCTGCTGGGAAGGCCTGGAGATGCATTCTGCGGCCCGGGAGATGCAGCTGGACGGGGCAGCCTGTAGACCCTCCCGGGGCTCTCACTGCTGAACAGGTGACTCTGGCTGCCGAGGTACCTTCATGGTGTTCGTGACAAGTGGGATCATTATTTTCAACCAATCGAGGGGAATGCAGGCCAGATGCCTCCCCAGCTGCTCGGAGAGGAGGCACGCCAGGCCCTCTCTGCTGACTTGGGCCCGGAAGGACAGAGTCAGGGGCCGGCAAACACCTTGGCCACGCCCCAAACAAGCATCACGGTGGGAGAGGAGAGGCCGCTGTCACGGGCACCCGATGCAGACCCTACCCCATCTGCAGGACACCCCTGCCTCTGTCAGCTCTGAGGCCAGGGGCCAGGTGGGGTCTGCTCCTGGGAATGGGGTGGGAGCCACAGGGACAGCACCGGGCGGGCTGTTGGGGGCAGACCAGAGAGTTTCAGAACCAGAATGAGGCACCTGGGGAGTTTTTACTGGCTCCACTTTCTTATCTTAGAGAGCTTAACAAATCCAGACAGATGGGTTTAAGAGAACTGTCTCTTTCAGCCTACATTTTTGTTTAATACGCTTGAGCAATAAACGCTGACTTGTAGACGTGGCTGTGGCTCTTCAATGTTGGGTCTTGGCAGGGTCGGCTCAGCCAAGGTCTGAAGGCATCGGAAGGGACCAGCAGGAGGGGCGGGTGGAGGCAGGCTGATTTGTGTAGCCCCTAGAGGCCAGTACTGGAGGGCTGGTGGGAGCCCAGTGGCTTTCCCAGGGTAAGAGGGAGGCAGCTGGAAAGAAACCACCCCAGCCAGGGGAAGCGCTACTCACCCCCAGTCAGTCCCCCACCAGCCCCTTCAGAGTCTGGCCAGAACCTCCCTTTTGGGGTATCTTGGGAAGGTAAATGCAAAATAAAGTTGATTTAAAACCAAATAAATCGCCGGGCGCGGTGGCTCACGCTTGTAATCCCAGCACTTTGGGAGGCCGAGGCGGGTGGATCACGAGGTCAAGAGATGGAGACCATCCTGGTCAACATGGTGAAACCCCGTCTCTACTAAAACTACAAAACATTAGCTGGGCATGGTGGCGTGTGCCTGTAATCCCAGCTACTCAGGAGGCTGAGGCAGGAGAATTGCCTGAACCCAGGAGGCGGAGGTTGCGGTGAGCCGAGATCGCGCCATTGCACTCCAGCCTGGGTAACAAGAGCGAAACGTCTCCAAAAAAAAAAAAAAAAAAAAAAAAAAAAAAAAAAAAACAAAAACCAAATAAATCAGCTCCCTCAGCTTCGTCTAGGCAAAAAATAAACAACAAAGATGACATCTAGGTTTTGGAAAGGTCCCATGAGTCAGGGTCCTGACAGGGGGGTGGGGGGTGTGTGTGTGTGTGTCTTCCCTGCCCCCACTCCAAGGTGCCAGATCAGACCCGAACTGATGGGGTGGTGATCTGATCGGGGGGGCCAAGGACACAGGCTGTGTGGACCTAGGTGGGCTCAGAACGCCCCGGGGTAGGCAGCTGTGTGGGACCCCGCAAGTGGCTCTGCAGATTCCAAAGCCTCCCAGGTTCCGCCACGGGAGGGGGGCGCTGCTGCGGTCACGCCGTCGCCCCCAACCGCCAGGACCCCCGGCACCCCCGGAGAAGCCGAGCGCCCGCTGCACCCTCACCCGCCCCTCCAGCCTGGCGTGGGGGCCCGGCCCAGGGAGAGAGGGCGGCGCGAGAGCCTCGGGAGGGCGAGAAGGCCCGGCACGGCTGGGGGGCTGCGAGGGAGGGGCAGGGTGTGACCCGCGGGTCTTTGTGACCTGGTGCGGGACTGAGTGTGACCCCCACAGCGGGGCGCGGGGCCGCAGCGTGTGACCTGGGGCTACACCCAGGCCCTCCCCGTAGGCACCATGGCGCGCACCGTCCCGCGCCCCGGACCCCGCAGCCGCGCCTGCTCCGACAGCGGCCTGGGACCTGGACCCGGACCCCAGCCCGGCCCCCAACCCGGGCCCGGCCCCAACGCCGCCGACCGCTGCCCGTCAGGGCCCGAGGCCCCCGCGCGCCGCCGCCCCCCGCGCCCCCGCGCCCCCCGGGTCCCCCGCCGTCCGCGCAGCCCCACGCCCCGAGCCAGCCGCCGGCGCCCGGGTGCACAATGCGCTCGGCCGCCCCAGCACGTTGCTCTGGGCAACCGCAGGACGCTGGGCGGCGCCAATGCGGACTGGGGCGCGATGGGAGCCACTGACCCAGTCCCCGGTGAGCTCGACGCCCCCACCTCGGAACCGCAGACCCGCCCCCACCCCCGAACTCCAGGCCTAACCCCGCCCTGGGCCTCCGAATTCTAGACCCCAGAATTCCTAGGAACCCCAGAAACCCAAAGACACCTGCGCAGCTCCACCCACCCCGCCCCGCCTCGAAAGCCGAGAACTGTTCTCCCTGCCTGCCCCCATCTTCTGGGAGCTCCACAGCTGTCCACTCCCCTCTGCCTTCAGAACCCACCTCTCCTCATTAACCCAGACCTGCCCCCAACCCAAACTTTCCCCTCAACCCAGACCTGATCCCCAATTGAGACCTGATGCCCCCAGCCCAGACATGACCCCCCAACCCAGACCGGACACCAAACCAGTGGTGACCCCAAACCCAGTCCTGACCCCAATCCCAGACCTGATCCCCAACCTAGACCTGATCTCCCCCCTAGATCTGACCCCCAACCCAGACCTGACCCTTAATTCAAACCTGACCCCCAAGCCTCACACCTGACCCCAAACACAGACCTGACTCTCCAGCCAGACCTGATGCCCAACACAGACCTGAACCCCAACCTCAGACCTAATCCCCAACCCCAGGCCCGTTCCCCAACCCCATACCTGACCCCCAGCCCGGACCTGAACCTCCAACCCCAGACCCGACCCCCAACCTGGATGTGACCCCCAATGCCAGACCTGACCCCCAATGCAGACTTGACCCCCCCAACATAGATTTCATTCCCAACCCCAGATTTAAGTCCTTAATCCAGACCTGACCCCAACCCCAGAGCTGACCCCAACCCCAGACCTGACCCCCAACCCAGACCTGATCCCCAACCCCAGACCTGACCCCAACCCAGACCTGATCCCCAACCCAGACATGACCCCCCAACCCAGACCTGATCCCCAACCCAGACCTGACCCCCCCAATCTCAGACCTGACCCCAACCCAGACCTGACCCCAACCCCAGACCTGACCCCCCAACCCAGACTGACCCCAACCCAGACCTGATCCCCCCAATCCCAGACATGACCCCCAACCCCAGGCCTGATCTCCAACCCCGGACCTGACCCCCTAACTCGGACCTGACCCCCTAACTCCGAACTGACCCCCAACCCAGACCTGATCCCCTAACGCAGACCTGATCCCCTAACGCAGACCTGACCCCATCCCAGACCAGATCCCCTAACTCAGACCTGACTCCACAACCCAGACCCCCAACTAGACCTGACCCCCAACCCCAGACCTGACCCCAATCCCAACGTCACCTCCAGCCTCAGACTTATCCACCAACCCAAACCTGATGCCCAACTCAGACCTGACTCCAACCCAGACCTGATCTCCAACCCAGACTTGCCCCCCCCCCCAGACCCTGATCCACCAACTAACACCTGACCCCAACCCCGACCTGACTCTCAGCTCGGGCCTCAGAACCCTCTCGCTCCTGGGGTCCTCCACACCCTCCTCGTTTCTCATAACCAGCGCACCCTCTCCTCTAGGGGCCGGAGGAGGGAAGGGTGAGCTGTCTGAGGCCAGCATGGATCCAGAGAGGAAGGGGTTCTGGTCGGCTTCTTCAGATGGAGATGGGAGCAAAGAAAATAGTGGGTATCCTGTATGCCTGCATGCCAGCCACTCACCCAGAGCCGTGCTGCAGCTCCGATGCTCAGAGGCAGTTCTGGCTGCAGCCTGCTGCCCGGAAATCAGGGAATCCGGGGGCGGCCACATCACCGAGCTGCAGAACCAGGCACCTTCTTTTGTTGAATGGTCTAGGCAGAGGACCCCAGGGGTGTTGGGGGCGCTGGGTCCTGCCTCCTGCGCCCTAGTCCCACTGGCCAGCTTCCTGGGAAGCTGGGAAATTAAATGTGTGGGTGCGAAGGGCTCACCTGGCGGGTCATGGGGGCTGTGCGCTTTCCCTTCTCGTCCTTCGTGCCCTTGCCCTTGTCTATGTCTACCCCATAGACACAGCATAACCATTTAATGGTTATTTCTTGATGATCCGCTACGCACGAGGTGGAATACTCATGCCTCCCCTCTTTAGACCACCTGGGGTAACTTCCTGACGTGGCCATGGCACTCATAACTGTCCTGGCGCTGGTGGGAGTGTAGCGGTGAGCATGACCCGAGGTCACGCTCGTGACCGTCTTGGTTTTGGTGGGTTTTGGCCGGCTCCTTTATGGCACCCTGTTTTATCAGCAAGGTTTTTATGACCTGTATCTTGTGCCAACCCCCCATCTCATCCCGTGACTTAGAATGTCTTCACCACCTGGGAATGCAGCAGCTTGGCAGGTCTCAGCCTCCTTTTACACAGCTCCTGTTCAAGATGGAGCTGCTCCAGTTCATGTGCCTCGGGCGCTTCTTCCGCTGTTGGTTCCTTGGGCCATTCTCCGGCCACACCTCCCTCCCACGGCTCTGGTCTCAATGACCGTGGATGGCTTTTGCTGACTCATGGATGGCGTGCCTCAGAATATGCCATTTCATGTCTGGCCTCGTTAGATGTGTGTCTTTTTTTTTTTGTGATGGAGTCTCGCTCTGTGCCCAGGCTGGAGTGCAATGGCGGGATCTTGGCTCACTGCAACCTCCGCCGCCTGGGTTCAAGTGATTCTCCTGCCTCAGCCTCCTGAGTAGCTGAGATCACAGGCACATGCCGCCATGCCCAGCTAATTTTTGTATTTTTAGTGGAGATGGGGTTTCACCATGTTGGTCAGGCTGGTCTTGAACTTCCGACCTTGCGATCTGCCCACCTCGGCCTCCCAAAGTGCTGGGGTTACAGGTGTGAGCCACCGCACCTGGTGGGCAGATGTCTTTGAATTTGTTCTCCAGTCTGTGCTTTACCTCTTCATTTTCTTAACAAAGCAGAACATTTTAATGTTGGTGAAGTCCAGGACTTCATCAATTTTAACGTGTATGGTTAGTGGTTTTGGGAATGGTTTGAGAAACGTTCTCCTGACCCACAGTCGTGAAGGTGCTCTCCGTGTTTTCTCCTAGAGGAGCAAAGATTAGTTTTTGGGCGTGTTGCCAGGCAGCAGTTACAGTTTGCCCTCTCCACACGGACGTACAGCTGTTCTCGCACTGTCCCCACTGAGGTGCTTTGGAGCTTTAGTCTAAATCAGTTGGCTGGACGGACACGGGTTTTTGGCACCCAGGGGGTGGAGAAAGTGGCAGTTGAAGCTGGCGGGAGGGATTCTCCTGCCTCAGCCTCCCGAGTAGCTGGGATTACAGGCATGCACCACCACGCACGGCTCACTTTTGTATTTTTAGTAGAGATGGGGTTTCGCCGTGTTGGCCGGGCTGGTCTTGAACTCCTGGCCTCATGTGATCCACCTGCCTCGGCCTCCCGCAGTGCTGGGATTACAGGCGTGAGCCACCGAACCAGCCCTGGATGCCGTTTCCTTTGACTTGATGTCCTCTTTCTCTTTGCAGAATTAAAACAAGGAATTTCTCAAGACTTGGCTTCTTCCCCCAAATTAGACAGATACAAAATAGCAAGGCAGTTAACAGAAAAAGCAATCAAGGTAAATGCTCCTTGGGACTCCGTGGGGAGGGGGACACTTTTTTAAAAGAACATTTGTTTTGGAACTTGGAGTCTGTCTGGCGTCTGACGCACTGTGCCTGAGAGCCGCAGCCTCCTCCCTGTGGGACTTGGCTGGAGTTACATTTATTTATTTATTTGTCTGTTTATTTATTTTTGAGGCAGAGTCTGGCTCTGTTGCCCAGGCTGGAGTGCAGTGGCACAATCTCAGCTCACCGCAACCTCCGCCTCCTGGGTTCAAGCAATTCTCGTGCCTCAGCCTCTTGAGTAGCTGGGACTACAGGTGAGTAGCTGGGACTACAGGTGCATGCCACTGCACCTAGCTAAGCTAATTTTTTTATTTTTTGGTAGAATTGGAGGTTTCACTATGTTGACCAGGCTGGTCTTGAACTCCTGACCTCAGGTAATCCCAGCACTTTGGAAGGCCAAGGCAGGCAGATCCTGAGGTCAGAAGTTCGAGACCAGTCTGGCCAATATAGTGAAAACCCATCTCTACTGAAAATACAAAAGATCAGCTGTGTGTGGTGGTGCACACCTGTAATCCCAGCTACTCGGGAGGCTGAGGCAGGAGAATTGTGTGAACCAGGGAGGCAGAGGTTGCAATTAGCGGAGATCGTACCATTGCACTCCAGCCCTGGTGACAGTGTGAGACTCTGTCTAAAAAAAAAAAAAAAAAAATTAGCCAGGCGTGGTGGCAGGCACCTGTAATCCCAGCAGCTACTTGGATACTCGGGAGGCTGAGGCAGGGAGAATTGCTTGAACCTGGAAGGTGGAGATTGCAGTGAGCCGAGATCGCATCACTGCACTCTAGCCTGGGCGACAGAGCTAGATTCTGTCCCAAAAAAAAAAAAAATTACATATTGGGTGACAGGTGCCCCAAAATCTTAAAAATCACCACTAAAGAGCTTATCCATGTAACCAAAATCCACCTGTTCTCCAAAGATGATTGAAATAAAAATATCCTCTTGCCATCTTAGGAGAAGAAGATTTTCTCTATCTACGGGCACTACCCGGTGGTGCGTGCAGCCCTGCGGAGGAAGGGCTGGGTGGAGAAGAAGTTCCACTTCTTGCCCAGGGTCATTCCCGACTTCGAGAATGGCAGCACCGGGGTCACTGGTAGGGTATTGGAGGCGCGAGTCTCAGTGCAGGGAGTGCCTGTCTGCCACGGGCACGGGGGGGGAGGGTCCGTGCCAACCTGAGCGTGCTGCCTGCCCTCGGGTCCCAGTGTGCAGGATGGAATCTCTCCGACTCCAGGTCTCCGTCGTCCTCCTGGCCTCCCTGCCCCAGGTGGTCATGCAGGGCAAACCCTTTCAAGCCCCTGGCACTGCTCCCTTCTCAGTGTCCCGTGGCCCCCACCCAGGCCAGGCCTCCTCCTGCCGGGGTGGTTTCCATAGTCCTGCTCTGTCCCACCCAGCCATCCCTCCTCCGGCCCCAGCTGCCCGAAGTCCACTCCTCAGGCCCCCACGGTACCCACTGCTCCTCACTGACCCTCTGCACAACTGTGTCTGTGTCCTCTTGGCCCCAGTGAGACCCAGATCAAATGTCCCCCACCTCCCCACCTCTGCCCGGGGCCCCATGGCCGCCATCACACCCCGGGCTGTCTCCACCGTTCCGCACCCCAGGACATCTGGGCCTCCAGGAATCCTGGGACCCCATGCCCTGTCACAGCCCTGGTGGGATGGCTGTCCTGTGGACGGTCACGGGATGTGTGTGGGCAGCCGGGATGTCCCGAGCCTGACCCAGCACCCACAGAGGCACCCGCTCTGCCAGGGGAAGTTGCCGTCCTGCCCGTGGCGGTGATAATGGAGTGCTGTGGAAGTCTGGCAGAGGCCCTATGTTCAGGCCTCCCACTGTGTCTCGTTGGCAGATGATAAACATGCTGAAGTGAAAGAAAATCGAGAAACGGCTTTGGAGAGAACAGAGGACATCCACGATGTGATGGTACGTCCCCTGCGTGCGTCCTAATCAGCCTCGGCCTCTCCACGGCTTCTCACACCATCACCCTGCTCTCTGCCCATTTGCCCATGTCCTGGGGCATGGCAGCCTGGCGGGGGCAAAACCCCAGTCACAGCAGGGCCCCTTGACCTGGGGTGGGGTGAGCCTGTCGGTGCTGGATGAGCCGCTGTGCAGGGGGCAGACCTGGTGCGCCCAGCTCCCTCTACCCACACTGGGCTGGCCTGCCACGTGCTCGTGGAAGCTGAGGGCCTTCCCGGCGTGTGTGTTGCAGGCCAGGCCTGGCCAGCGAGTGAGCTGGGGTCTCCAGCAACACTGCAGTGTGCCCTCCCACCTCCCCAGCCCAGTCTGGTTCCTCGGGGACACCCCACGCTCCCCCATAAAGAGAGTGAAAGAGAAACCAGAGTGGGAGGCGGCATTTGTAGTACTTACAGTTTAAAAGATCAAATATCCAGGATATGTAAAGAACTCACAAATCAGTAATGAAAAGGCAAGTAGAAAAATGGGCACAGACTTGATTGGGAGCCTCCCCCAAGGCCAGCGACCTCACTCTTCCAAGTTCCTGGGGTCAGTGCCGTTCCCACAGACCCTGTGAGTGCTCCAGCGGCTCTGCAGATCCCGGGAAAGAACATTCCTCACTGTTCTGAAGGCTGGAGGCTGGGTCAGGGGCAGCAGGGCTGGGCTGGTGAGGGTGCCCTGCTTCACAGACAGCTGACTTCTTTCTGCGTCCTCGCACGGGCAAGGGTTTTTCTGGGGCCACTTTATAAGGGCCTCATGCTCACGACCTAATCCTGGAGCCCTGCCTCCTATGCCATCGCCTGGGGGTGAGGACCACAACACATGCATTTCGGGGGAACAGAAACATTCTGCTGACTAGGTGTGGAGGAGAGAGATGCAGGTGGCAGTTACCTGACAGAGGTGACTGGGGGACTTTGGTTCTGTTGACGATGCTGTTTCTCACCCCAGGATGCAGTGATTAGTGGTTAGCAGTTAGTATGCTATTATTTACACTTTTATATTTTTCTTTTTTTTTTTTTTTTGAGACAGAGTTTCGCTCTTGTTACCCAGGCAGGAGTGCAGAGGCTCGATCTTGGCTCACTGCAACCTCTGCCTCCCAGGTTCAAGTGGTTCTCCTGCCTCAGCCTCCTGAGTAGCTGGGATTACAGGTGCACACCACCACACCTGGCTAATTTTTGTATTTTTAGTAGAGATGGTGTTTCACCTGTTGACCAGGCTGGTCTTGAACTCTTGACCTCAGGTGATCTGCCAGCCTTGACCTCCCAAAGTTCTGGGATTACAGGTGTGAGCCACCAGGCTCAGCCTTACACTTTTATATTTCTAAGATAATTCAAAACATATGTTAAAAACGAGACTTCTATCTGAAAATGACAAGGAAAGTGACAGATGCCACTCTGAGGGTAGGAACAGGAGGTTGGACCATGAAGTGCAGAGGGCCTGGGGCCCAGCTCCCTCCCTGGGGTCTGCACAGAGCAGGGTGGAGGGAGGCCCGGCCTGCACTCACAGGGCACCGAGTGGAACCTTCCGCCTTGTGGAATGTCGCGTGTGGGATTCTGCCCGTGCAGGTAAATGTGCCTGTCTGTGTGTCCACATGCACTTGTCTGCAGAGACCGACTCAGATGGGTGCTCCCCAAGGTGTCAGGTCAGAGATTATCTCCTGGGGGAGGATTTTGAAGAATGTTTTCCTGCCTTGAATCTCTTTATATGGTTGGAATTCTTTTCAATTATTTTCTTTTATTTTTCTTCTTCTTCTTTTTTTTTTTGGAAACAGAGTCTCTCTTTATTGCCCAGGCTGGAGTGCAGTGGTGCAATCTCGGCTCACTGCAACCTCCGCCTCCTGGGCTCAAGTGATTCTGCTGTCTCAGCCTCCCGAGTAGCTGGGAGGGACTGCAGGTGCACACCACCACGCCCAGCTAATTTTTGCACTTTCAGTAGAGACAGGGTTTTGCCATGTTGACCAGGATGGTCTCAATCTCTTGACCTCGTGATCCACCCCCCTCAGGCTCCCAAAGTGCTGGGATTACAGGCCTGCCTGCGCCACCATGCCCGGCCTGGTTGGAATTCTGACTCAACACGGGCCATTGTTGTAAACAGAAAAGCGCCAACAGGACGCCCCGGCCTCAGGCCCCAGCTCCGCGCCCAGGCCCTCTATCAGCAGGGCAGGATCAGAGGCCGGCACCTGGGGCTCAGGTGGGGCTCTGCGGGTGGTGCAGGCCTGGGGGCCTCCATCCCGGGGACTGTGAGCTCCTGGTCGTGAAGTGTTGTGTATTCTACCTTGGCCAGTGGCTCGTCCCCACCCTATGAAGACCCCATGTGGAGGGCTCAGGCCCCACCTGCAGCTCCCACATCAGGGGTGGCTCCCCAGAGCACCAGGCCCCTGAGTGGAACCCTGTGTGGTCCTGGCTGCGCCCCAGGCCCCGTGTGCAGGAGGCCCTCAAGGAGCACGGCTGGGAGCCTCACGCTGCGCACAATTTATCCTCTGATGTTCTCCTCGCTCTGACACGTCCTGGCTGGCATGAACCTTGACTGCTGGCTATCAACAGACTTTCTTCTTGCCAGTCTAGGTTGGTAAAAAACGAGATGCCCTACCTCCTCTGGACCATCAAGAGGGACGTCATTGACTATCACAACCTGACCTGTGACCAGATGCTGAACCACTACGCCAAAACTGCCTCCTTCACCACCAAGGTGAGCTGCTGCTGAGGGTGGCGAGGGGCTGGCAGGAGCTGGCAAGGGTGGGGGGAGGGGCCTCTGCAGCCACTAGGGACCCTTGGTGGCTGGTCAGTGGCCATGGGTGGCCATAGGCAACCACCACTCACCTCCTGGGTGCCTCCCAGGACTCCTGGTCTAACGCCATGGCCAGAAGCACTCAGTGCCCACCCCACCCCTAGCACCCCTGGACCCTTTGCTCTGTGTCTCTGGGTGAATCTGGGGGCTCAGGGCAGAGGCCAAGCCAAAGATGGGGCTGAGTGGGAGCTGCCACCGGGCTTTGGGCCCTGAAGGGGCTGTGGGTCCCCAGGGGCAGGGGTACAGCTCTCCGCCGCAGAGGTCCCTGACTAGGAATGTACGTCACTGGGTACTTTCCCGCCTCCCCCATCCCTGGACCTGCCCAAGGCAGCTGCCACACCTTTCCACCAAGGCCCAGGGTTGGGGCCTGACCAGGATGCAGGGTGTGGGGACCCTGCTGAGGGAGGGGTAGGGCAGAGGGGCTTTCCTGGCACAGGGGCCCCCTCAGCAGGCCAGGTGTGGCTGCCTCAGCACAGCATATGGGGCAGGGGCAGGGGATAAGGTGCTCTTCCACATCTGCCACCCCAAGGCCTCCTCCGGGTCAGGCCAGGGCCGGCGCTGCTGGTGGAAACACGGCTCCTGCAGAGACCCTGCGTGCAGAGCCTGGCCTGGGGCCCTGGGGGGCCGAGAGACTGGGGACCGGGACGGGGAGGGGTCTGCCCCAGGGGTGCCCTGTGGTGCCCGGTGGTGCTCTGAGGTGGAAGGCGGGTCCTGCCTTTCGAGCGATGCGGAGCGGAGCTGCCCCTTGGGCCTAACGCGTCGCTGTCTCTGGAGATCGGGCTGTGCGTGAACATGCGGAGCCTGCCGTGGTACGTCCCGGCGAACCCCGACTCCTTCTTCCCACGCTGCTACAGCCTCTGCACCGACAGCGAGCAGCAGGAGTTCCTGGGTGAGTGACACGGCCCCGGGGCCCAGCCAGCACCCCAGCTCAGCACCTCTGGTCCCCTGGCAAGGGCTCGTCTGGAAACTTCCGTGGGCAACCTCGGAAGGGGGAGGGGCACTGCGGCTGTGGAGCGGGTGTTGGTCAGGGCAGGCGGGGGAGGCCCTGCTGGCTTGTGCCAGCTCAGAGTGGCGCTGCCCATCTTGGCCGGGCTGGACGTGGTCACCTTGCTGCTCAGCACACGAGCTGCAGGCCCCATGCGATGCATGCTTTGCCTTCTGAGACACAGCAATGAGTGGGACGGGGCAGAGGGCCCAGTGCTGTCAGCAGAGAGGCTTCTAGAAAGATCCCCCTGGCACCGAGACAGATTGATGGGGCCGGGTCTGAGGACAGAGGACAGAGGCCATGGTCATGGCAGTGCAGGGGCCAGGGGTGCGGGGCGGGGGGAGGGCAGGCAGTCACCGAGTGTGTGGCCCTGCCTCTGGGCCTGGGGACAGTGCATGAGCCGCTGGGGTGAGGCCGGCTCCATGGTCGGAGGCCAAGGGTGCAGCTGGACAGCTGCAGTCACAGAGGTGCTGGGGGGAGAAGGACAGGCAGCGTGGGCTGTGGGAGCAGGCCTGGCCTCCACCAGCTGTGAGGGCAGGAAGTGGGGCAGGTGCGGGAGCCTCTGAGGCCCTGGCCCCAACTCCAGTCCCCAGCCCAGGCTCAGGTGCAGGGTGAGGCCATGCTGTCCTTCAGTTCCGGCTTGAGCAGAGGATGAGGCTGTGCTGTCCTTCCAGATGACTTCCGGCGTACCATGGCATCCAGCATCCTCAAGTGGGTGGTCAGTCACCAGAGCTGCAGCAGGAGCAAGCCCAGGGCCCAGGTGGAGGAGGCTGAGAGCAGCGAGCTGAGCAGCAGGACAGGTGTGTGGGGCGCGGGGCCGGGGCGGGCAGTGCCGGGCCGCCAGAGCTGGGGGCCTCCACGGGGGCCCTCCTGCCTCCTGGGCATGGTCAGTCTCGAGGGTCCGAGCAGCCAGGACCAGATGCAGCCGTGCCTCAGACTCTCGATTCACAGCAAACGGGTTTCCTGATCTAACCGTGGGGTTAACGCTGAAGTCGCCCGGTTTGGGAAGCACCTGGCAGTTAACACAGCCCTGGGACATCCGAGTCCCACGCTCACCACCACAGTTCCGTGCCACGGACGTGGTTCCAGCCTGTGGTCAGGAGCCTGCTGTGCCCCATGGCCACCCTGATGCCACAGCCCAAGTCTCCCCAGAAGGGCCCTGTGGGAGAGAACACAGGAAGGCCCAGGGAGAGGTGCCCAGGTGGTGCGGGGACGTGAGCCAGCCATCGTGGTTTTGGACAAAATCCGAATCTTTCTTGTTACTTTAATAAAATGTGGTTTCTAGAGCAGTTTTAGGTTCACAGCACCGCCGCGCAGAGGCCCAGGATTTGCCATGTGCCTCCCCCGCTGTCGACACCCCCTCCAGAGTGGTGCGTTCACTGCAACTGCTGACTGTTGAACATGAGTGCATTAGACTTTTAGTGTGTATTTGTGCCAATCAGACGGCTGCAGGGCTCCACCGAGGGAAGGGCTCTTCTAGGTAAACATGGAAGCGGACAAAACAAATCCCGATTGCTGAACGCTGGGGCCGTGGCCTTGCCTGTGCTGAGTGGGAACTTTGCCCAGCGGGCTGCCTGTGACTGGCTGTGCTCAGGTTTCGCTTTCAGTTCTGAGTTAGGTTTTGGCTTGCTTATGTTGGACACGAGGCCACTTGGGCCACCTCAGTCCGATGGCCTCCTAATTAATGATTCGGTTTTTCTTTTGAGATGAAGTCTCACTCTGTCACCCAGGTGCAGTGCAAAATGGTGTGATCTCAGCTCACTGCAACCTCCACCTCCCTGGTTCACGTGATTCTCCTGCCTCAGCCTCCTGAGTAGCTGGGATTACAGGCACACGACACCACACCTGGCTAATTTTTTGTATTTTTAGTGGAGATGGGGTTTCACCATGTTGGCCAAGCTGATCTCAAACTCCTGACCTCAAGTGATCACCCACCTTGGCCTCCCACAGTGCTGGGATTACAGGCGTGAGCCACTGCACCCGGCCTAGTTAATAATTTTAACACAGTTGATGAACTTACATTGACACATCATGGTAACCCAAATGGTTTTACACATTCTGCAGGTTTGGACAAATGTATGATGACATGTATCCACCATTCCAGCATCAGACAGAGAAGATCCCCGGCCCCAAAACCCTCTGTGCTCTGTCTCCTCATCCCCCACCCCCACCCCAAGCTCCTGGCCACCACTGATCTTTTTCTGTCTCCATGGTTTTGCCTTTTCTACAATGCCATTTGGATAGAACCATGTAGCATGGAGCCTTTTCAGATGGGCTTCTTCGACGCAGTGATATGCATTTAAGATTCTTCCAAGTCTTTTCACAGCTTGATAGCTCACCCTTTTTAGTGCTGAGTAATATTCCACTCTCTGGATCCACCACTGTTTATTTATCTGTTCATCTACTGAACGACATCTTGGTCACTTCCAGGTTTTGACAATCATGAATAATGTTTCCGTAAACATCTGTGTGCAGGCCTTTGTGTGGCCATAAGTTTTGACCTCCTCTGGGCAGATACCAAGGAGTGCACTTACTGGGTGGTGTGGCAAGAGTATGTTTAGTTTTCTAAGAAACTGCCAGACTGTCTTCCAAAGTAGCTGCACCATTTTGCATTTCCACCAGCAGTGAGGGAGAGTTCTGTCCTCCACATCCTCACCAACGTTTGATGTTGTCAGTGTTCTGTGTGTTCCATTCTCCTGGGTCTGTCATGGTGTCATTATTGTTGTGATTTGCGATCCACAGTGGCCTTTGATGTTGAGCATGTGTTCATATGCTTGTTTTCCATCTGTATAGACTCTGGTGAGGTGACTGTTCAGAGTCACATTTGTGAATTATGTTTTCTGGCTGGGTGTGGTGGTTCACATCTGTAATCCCAGCACTTTGGGAGGCCGAGGCAGATGGATCACTTGAGGTCAGGAGTTTGAGACCAGCTAGGCTAACATGGTGAAACTCCATCTCTACTAAAAATACAAAATTAACTAGGTGTGATGGTGGGCACTTGAAATCCCAGCTACTTGAGAGGCTGAGGCACAAGAATTGCTTGAACCTGGAAGGTGGAGGTTACAGTGAGCCAAGATCTTGCCATTGCACTCCAGGCTGGGAGACAAGCACAAAACTCTGGCTCAAAAAATTACAAATACAAATAAAAAATAAAATTATGGGCCGGGCGCGGTGGCTCACGCCTGTAATCCCCGCACTTTGGGAGGCCGAGGTGGGTGGATCACGAGGTCAAGAGATCGAGACCATCCTGGTCAACATGGTGAAACCCCGTCTCTACTAAAAATACAAAAAATCAGCTGGGCATGGTGGCGCGTGCCTGTAATCCCAGCGACTCAGGAGGCTGAGGCAGGAGAACTGCCTGAACCCAGGAGGCGGAGGTTGCGGTGAGCCGAGATCGCGCCATTGCACTCCAGCCTGGGTAACAAGAGCGAAACTCCATCTCAAAAAAAAAAAATAAATAAAATAAAATAAAATTATGTTTTCTTATTGTTGACTTTCAAGAGCTCTCTGCATACTCTAGATAACATGCCTTTATTAGATGTGTGCAAATATTTCCTCCCAATCTATGGCTTGTCTTCTTACTGTCCTTTACAGAGCAGAAGCTTTTCATTTTAATGAAGTTGAACTTATCAGTAATTGCTACTGTGGGGCACTGAGAGTCAGGCGGCAGGGTCCACGTTTGTTTGGGGAGGTGGTACTCACGGAGCCAGTGGAGGATGGGGCCATTCAGGGGGAGGGAGTCATCTCACAGACGCAGGCGTGGCATCCAGGGTGGCTGCCCAGAGAAGCTTTGTGGGGTCTTGGGTGCCTGCCTGGGTATCGGGGCACAGAGGGAGTGGAGCTGCCTTTGTCCATGGCT